GCACCCTACTCCTTTGAGCCACAAATGTCACCCAGTTTTCAAACTTTTAAAGAACATGAGCCAGGGCAGCCTCATTTGGGTTGGCCAGGTGTTTGCTTGCAAATGCTTAAGAACAGGCCCTTCAGGTGGGGTGAGGGCGACATGCAGCTCTGATTTGTAATATTCTCTGATTCCTATGGTGTAAATTCCCCACCACGCTGATTTCCAGCTGGCAGTGTGACATGCTCCCTCAGAGTTAGGAAGCATTGTCCAAGCTCAGCTGTTTGAAGCTGGTATGAGCCACTGGGCACACCCCAAGGTCTCCACCTCATGCCACCCTTTCTATTATAAAGCAGCGTCTTCCTAGATTTGATTCTGAGGTCAAAAAGTCCTTTGGAAATCAAGTAGTTCAGGGTACTGAGCTGAGCAGCCATCTGTAATTATTTTCTCCTTAATAAAAACATCTATAATAGGACCAAGATGCCACAATGTTATTTAAAGGATTTTCAAAGGTCAGTACCATCACTGATTTTTTTGTGTGTAATCACAAACCAAGAGTTTTGTGATCACAAACTCATTAAAACATAAGCTTACAGTTAATTCAATATGTTCAATTTACTGCAGTTCTGCTGTGACCTCTCTCCAAGTAGCAGTGAGCATGTGGGAGGGGCAGTGTTTCCTACATTCCCTGAATTCTCCAGCGATGACCTTTCCACAGTCATTTACACGTAACTGAGAGCCTGTGTTTGAGGACTCAGGACTTCCCAGCCCTGGCAGTGTGGACATTTGGCTGTGGGGTGTGCCCAGATCCTACCCACTAGATCCCTGGGGCTTAGCTCTTCCCACCTGCTATGTGACAACCAAAAAACAGCTGGACACTCCACCTGGGGGCAGGAGAAGGGAGAAATCACCCCCAGTGGAGAACCGCTGGACAGTGGAGTCTCTCTCCCTCATGCCAGGGCAGGATCCTGGTCATTCCACTGGATGAGTGTTCTGACGGAGGGCAGCAGCCACTGCGCCAGGCCCCAGGGCGTACTGGTTCCTGGGAGCACCTTGTTGCCTTTTCAGGAATTGTTAAGCTAATTGTTAAAAATGAAAATACATGAATAGAGAGATAACTTTCATTTAAAAACAATATTAAAATATTCAAATTCGTCAGTTAATAATTATGTTACTATACAAGGTGGGACAATTGAGTTTGTGAACTCATCTTAGAAAAAGTGATACCTGCTTCACTGCTGAATATCACTGAGGTCACCTTGGATGTGCTCCCCTCCGCCATCTGGTGACTATCACGATAGCCGTGAGTATGTCGCACTTTTTCTAGGATGACAGTTCACAAACTGAACTGTCAGTCCTTGTATTCTCCTATAGCCTGTGCTTGTGAGGTTACTTTCATCTGCTGCACCTGTTCGGTGGACGTTCTGTCCGGTAGTGGCTACTAACTGAAATCAGCCACGGGGAAGGGTTTATATCAGGGACACTGGGAAATGCTCAACACCGGGCTGTTCTCCCCAGACAGCTTATTGTCAAGCATTTACCAGCACAGCACTCTGTGTATTTATGTAAAACAGGCTCACAAGTAGTTATTTTGCAAGATAAATGTGTCTCCCTGATAAAGGGCAAGTATCATCTGCCTCCGAAATAGAGAAAGGTTATAAAAATGTGGCTTATCCATCAGCTGGGGACAGTTTGGTTTCTTTATAACACTGATCGCGTTTTTCTGTGCCAGGGAACATGCTAATTAACAGTTTGGAAGGAGTCAAACTACTTTCTCTCTGTCCTCCACTGCGGCAAGTGGGAGCTGCTGGTGAGGTGGGCCCTTCCCCGAGCAGCCTGCGGGCAGAGTGGGAGGATTCGCATCTCACGTCTCACATCACCCCGGATATTCCTTCCAATCCCCAAAGCCAGCCTGCCTGAGAGGGGCAGGAATCCCACTGTGGGGAAAGGGTTTGAGGACCCAGTGCTTGCTCAGGGGTGCACCTTCCGTGTTGTCTTGAAGAGCGTCCGGGGACAGCCCAGGACCCACATGCCCAAACCAGACTGCCCCTCCTGATGCCTCTGCCCCCTTCTCTCCTTGCACTCCGCCGTTTAACCAGACTACTTTAGCTTTCTCATTCTCGGAGTTAAATATTAAAAGTTCCAATGGGTTTTACCCTGTGAGACATGAGTTCCCTGCTTTGATATATATGTTAATGGTCAGTTGCGGGCCAGCACCTGCCTCTCTGCCAGACCCTCAGAGGGCACATTCATATGCGCGGGATGGCCTGGGGTGGAGGGGCAGAGTGCTGGCTCTGGGCTCAGCAGGGTTGAATCAAAGCTCTGACCTAAGAAAGAGAGAATCCTGGGGCATAGCACCTTCTGGACGTGGTTGTCTGCCTGGCCTTAACCCTCACCTCATCCTGTGCCAGCCCCCCCCACCCCAGGGCTCCCCAGGCAGCACCTCTCCACCCATCCCCCACCCTCTCTGCCTCAACTAAGCTCCAGTTAGAAACGGCCTCCATGGCCTTTTCTGGCCATGCAATATCTACTCCCTGCTCCAGTCCTGTGCTCCAGTGTAACCATTTGGCCGCCTGCTAGGACACATGTGAATAAGTGTCTGTGCTGAAAGATTTGGGGTTGTGAAAAAAACTTTCTCTTGGCGCTGTCCCCATGTGCCAGAGGTGGTGGGTTCAAACCTAGCCCTGGCCAAAAAAAAAAAAAAAATTTTTTTTCTTCTTCCAGAAAGAAGAAATGACCTCAGTACCATCACTGCTGACCACATCCCATTGGTCAGATCCCATTGGTAGATGCTGTTTTATTTTATCTTGTGATTCCCCAAAATGTGTCCAGCTCAGGCCAAAGCAGAGAAGGGCCCTCATTACGAAGCACCTAACAGACCAGTCTCCTAACCGCATATGTGGTAAAAAGAATAGGGGGCAGAGTTCTTAGGATAGTAGAGGGTCTTAAACAACTAAGAGGAAGTTGAATCTCGGGTCTTTAAGGACTGTCCATCTTGGTGTAGAGTGAGACCTCTGACCTACTTTGGTGCCTGGGTTTGACATCCTTTGCAAAGACACCTCAGAGTAAGTTTGGAGGAAGTCCTGGTGTCACGCTAACCTGTTGTGTTCTGATGATTTCTGGTGATAAAAGCAGGCTAGGATGCAGGCCCTCTCCTAACACAGCTGGAGGCACACATACTATAAGCTTAAATATTTAAAAGGTAAAAACCAAGCTAACAACTTGTTAACTAAAATATTTTGTAACCCCAGCCTTAACAAAGCCATCTTCACATGGCCTAAAAGTCCAGGGCTGAGCTGAGAATGTGGCATGCAGCAAGATCAGACCCATGGCAAGAGGCCACCCTGTCCCTTCCCATCCAAGTTCTGGCCCATCTAGGAGAGAAACAACCTTTCCCTCAATTCTGCATAGCAGAGATGACACTATTATGGTGGTAATGAGAGAACAAACCTGCTTACAGCTGTGAAAGACAAATGATCATTTTCTAAATGTTTATAGAAAAACAGCAGGGCCGCCCCTCAGGACCCTGAGGAAGCTTGCAGGTCCCTCTCTGCCTTTCCTGCAGAGAAGCGGTGGCTCAAATGAACAGGGAATATGTCCTGCAGAGATTGCCTGGGTCACAGCCCTGCAGCCCTGTGTGGGCCCCTGAAATCTGAGAGCTCCTTGGGGCGTCCTTTCCTTACTCTTGTAAAGGAAGTCATTTATTTGACTATGGTTTAGGCCAGCACCTTATACATTACAGTGGAAACAAGAATGTGGTGCACGTCTCTGAAAGGCTTTGGAGCGTGAAACCTGACCAAGTCCAAGAGCCCAGGCCACGGGAAGGTCGGCGGGAGCAAACACAACGTGAGCCTTGCTGAGCGCCGACCCCGGGGAACCCTGGGGCACGTGTGCTATGTGTCTCCTTGTTTCTCCCACATGTCCCGTGATTTAGTGACAAAATGTTTAAAAAACTCGACAGCAAAGAGTGCTTTGCCTATTTTTCTTTTTAATTGTTTTCTGACAAATTGCAGGTATTTTTAAACTAAAATTTCTTATCAGCTCAATGAAGATATTTGTAAAGTGCAGAAAGAATATTGTTAAAATTAAGATTTTAAAACTATAGGATGATTACATATGATAATTGGCTTACCACTAAAATTTATGAAACATAATCCTAAAAGTCCAGTTTTAGTTTTATTTGGTCAGGAATTCATTTTCCCTTGTAAGCCTCATAGAATATTCTGGATTGGTCCTGACACATTGCAGGGCAGCCTCAACTTCAGTAAAGGCCACATCCTCACCCTCGGTTTTCCCCTTTAACTCAGACGTGGCATTATATACGCTGAACTGAGAATGGATGAGGGGTGCGTCTTCCTCCAGCGTTTTTCACTAGGTGAAAGTGTCCCCAGCTAAGTCAGCCTTCTTTTCTACGACTCCCGATTCTTCCCAGGATCTTGCTATGGCTCAGTCACTCCTCATCTTCTGATTTCAGAATTTGACCTGGTCTCTGCCTACGAGGTTGACCACAGGGGAGAGCCCCTGTCCGGTGAGATCAGCCCTCATCAGAGACAGAGGAGAGCGGCCGCCCAGTTAGGAGCTGACTCTCTTCACCTTCACCTGAAAGGCGCCAAGCACGATTTCCACATGGATTTGAGAACTTCCAGCAGCCTCGTGGCTCCGGGATTTATCGTGCAGACCTTGGGGAAGGGAGGCACCAAGTCTGTGCAGACTCTGCCGCCGGAGGACTTCTGTTTCTACCAAGGCTCTGTGCGAGCCCACAGAAATTCCTCCGTCGCCCTTTCCACCTGCCAAGGGTTGGTGAGTACAGCTCACGGTACCAGTGTGAGACATAGGTGGTGGTGTGTGAATAGGGAACGCATGACCAGAGACGTCCTCAGAATGGCGTGGCCGTGCTGTGTGGATTAGCAGGGGGCTTGGCAGGACTCTGGAATACTTTGTGCATGTATACCCACCCAGTTGCTATTTTAAGATAATTGTGGGAGAACTTCTGGCCAGGTCTGAGCACATTAACTTCTTAGAAAACATTTTACCTCTAACTTACCTGGCCCATTATAAAAACTGAAGAGATGTCTTCATTGAAGTAGAACAGCAGCAGTATTCACCAGATACAGATTATTTGATCAGATTGTTCAAATGACTTCCAGTGGTTTGCATCTGTTATTCTGATAATGGTCACATGCTTATAAGTCAGAGTGTTCATCTACAGCAGGGCCTCGGCAGTTGCCCTGGGTTGCTGGTGCATTTCCCATGGTCTGGCTATCTGAGCTGGACAGTGCCCATCACTTTAGGTGCCATACTTCACTGGGGTCCTGGAGTGAGAAGCATCTGGCCAAGTAGATAATCTCCCTGCGTCCCGCAGGCCCACCCAAGTTGAAATTTCAATGACTTTTATTCACCTTTTCTTAAAATATTTTCATATTGTTAGAAGAAAAAAATCTTAGGTTACACTTGGATTCCTGACCACAGGTGAATTAGAGACAGAGATGAATGAAATGTACTGTCGATGGCGGAGTGGACATGTGTGATCGAAACGCATCACGGTCTTGAGGATGTTACAGGTTTAGCAACAGGTGTTAGGACATTGCTTCTCTCGGAAATGTGTTCAGTCTGACTTAAATTTTCTTTCCTCTTTGAGGAAAGGAAAAGTGGCCCCTGGACCTTATAGGGCTTTTGTGTGTGTGAGAGAGAGGACGGGACACGGATTCATAACCAAGTCCATAAAATATACACAAATGCCAAATCCTATAAAAATATTTTTTTTGAATATTAACATGCTGGTATTTAGGGGAATTTGATACAAGTTGATCTCATTTCTACTTCGATCTGCAAGAGGCTTTTGGTCTGAGTTGCCAGGGGCGGGGTGGCGGCTATTTGGCACTTTCGTTAAGCATGAAAACAACGTGGCTGATTTTTTCCACATTCCCCCAAGAAAAATAGACCTTCCTCAGTTAATGGGCCAGAACCCTTCACATAGTGCACAGAGTGAAGATGGCGCTCCCTGGGCTTTTTTCTGAGAAGCCTTAACCCAGAAGTGGAAGCTGCTGTGTGGCTGCGAGGTGGCTGCGCCCTCCAGGCTCCAGCAACTTGGATTTGCTCCTGAAGTTTGGGTGAGGTGCTGCTCGTTACCAGGCTGCGAGCTCGCCGATGTCCCTGTCTCTCCCGTGACAGCTGACCCTGCCCTGCCGTCTGTCCTGTGGTTGGGGTGGGCAGGAGCTGCCCGAAATCTCCAGCTCTCTGTGAACTTGATGTAAGTTAATAGTGAAAGTTAGAACTCGGATATACACAAAAGATAAAGAAATGATGAAAAACTAGTGGTGCCGATAGCTCAGTGGGGAGGGCACCGGCCACATACACCCAGGCTGGCCGGTTCAAACCTGACCTGGGCCAGCTAAACAACAATGACAACTGCAACAACAACAACAAAATAGCCAGGTGTTATGGTGGGCTCCTGTAGTCCCAGTTACTTGGGAGGCAAGAGAGTCACTTAAGCCCAAGAGTTTGAGGTTGCTATGAGCTATGACACCATGGTACTCTACCCAGGGTGATAACTTAAGACTTTGTCTTAAAAAAAGAAAGAAAGAAATGATAAGAAACAGGATAAAATGCTTCTCTGGAGAATCAATGCTGGCATCTGATATTGGGGTCACTGGAATAGAAAGTTGTATCTCTTCGCCATCGATCTCCCAAATACATACCCTCCACCTCCCCTGATACTGTGTCTGCAGATGGTCTCTGTGCACGTGACCTCAACTAAATTTAGGGTGTGAGGTTCAGGAGTGTTTGCTTTCGTGTTTGGTAGGATGTATCCAAGGCATTGTAAAGAAGAAAAAGGAAGAATTGAAAAGCCCTCTTTCTTTAGCCAGATAATAGAATATGGAATGAGATCCTCCTTCGCTGCCAGCTCTGGACTTTCTTTCCTAAGGATTACTCATTCCTCAGCTTCCTAACCTGTTAACACTGTCAGAGAAACAGCACGTTAGGCTGGAAACAGCCTCTTTACATCAGGCGCCTTTTTGTTTTGCCGTCATCATTCTCAGTTCTTTCCACTTCTAATTAAAGTCCAAAGTGGATCTCAGTTAATGTTCTTACAGGGCTTCAAGCTGGCCCTGAATGGCCGGCTCTCTAATGATATGGGGGGTTCCCAGGAGCCCCTCCTCTCCGTCCCCGTCTCTAATGATGTCGAGGGTTCCCAGGAGCCCCTCCTCTC